AACAGCTAAAACATATGTGCAAGGGGAACCTTTGCCTTTTACCTTTATAACTCAATAAAAAAATGTTAATGGGGAAAAAGAAAGCGGCCAGGGAGCCCCTCATATTTCTAAAAACATCTGTCTGCAGAGTCATTGGCTTTTCATCTGATACGGAATATAAAAGAGAAGCCAGAATCGACTGAATAATCCCTGCCCATTTGTGACGAAACACTTTCAAGATAGTGCGAAATTAATTTGCCCGTCCCTTATTAAGATAAGGCGAGTTGGAATCTATTTTAAGCCTGGCACCAGCGGTGATAATCCGTGCCACAGCACAAACTGGCACACTTGTGATTAAATGTTCCCAGAAAGAGATTGCATTAATTTTAAGTGTAGCTAGATTGCAAAATTGGTAGCGGGTATTACAAATTCTATTCTAGAAACACTTTACAGATCAAACAGGTTATTCCTGCTCCTATTATCTAAATTATTCTGCCCCAGTTATAAGGGAGGCCAAATTCCTTAGAGGCATAAAATGGAAAGTAGCGATTACAGGTAGTCCCTGACTTACGACCAAAATTGAGCCCAAAATTTCTGCTGCCAAGTGAGACATTTATTAGTGAGTTTTGCCCCCATTTTACGTCCTTTCTTGCCACGGTCGTTAAACAAGTCACTGCAGCTGTTAGGTTAGTAACACATGAGGTGAATCTGTTTTCCCCGTTGACTTTGTCAGAAGGTCACAAAAAGGGATCACGTAACCCTAGGACACTGCAACCGTCGTAAAGATGAGTCAGCTGCCAAGCATCTAAATTTTGATCACGTGACCGAGGGGATCGTAAGTCGTAAGTGTGAGAAAGGTGTAACGAGTGACTTTTTCCAATGCTGGTCACGAAATGAATGGTTGTAAATCAAGGACCAAGCGTACTCGGATGGTATGTGATCCTCTAAAGAAGAGATTGGACAACCTTTGTCTGACGTGGCTACAGGGTTTCCTACCTGAGCATGGGGTTGGACTAGAAGACCTCCAAGGTCCCTTCCCAACTCTGTTGTTATTCTCTCAACCAACAAGATTGCCTTGGAAAATCCAAATCTCCCTGGAATATGGAAGTTACAGCCCTTTAATTTAAACCACTGAATATTTTTATACTATGACTTTTATACGTGAACTTTTATATAAATTCAGGGATTGTTCCAAAGATTGGTTTTCCAAAAGGCAACTGGACTTTTGGGTTTTGTTTTCTTTTCTTTTCTTGAAAACATTTTGCTTTTCATCCAAGAAGCTTCTTTGGTTCTGAAGAATGGTTGGTTGAACGGTTGCAGGAACTGGGCCTGGCTAGTCTAGTGAAGAGAAGGACCAGGGGAGACAGGATAGCAGTCTTCCAATATTTGAGGGGCTGCCACAGAGAGGAGGGGGTCAAGCTATTTTCCAAAGCCCCTGAAGGCCAGACAAGGAATAATGGATGGAAACTGACCAAGGAGAGATTCAACCTGGAAATAAGGAGAAATTTTCTGAGAATGAGAGCAATCAACCGATGGAACAGAAGTTGCTTTCAGAAGTTGTGGGAGCTTCATCACTGGAGGCTTTCAAGAAAAGACTGGACACTATAAAAAAAAGACGTTGAGACTCTAGAAAGAGTGCAGAGAAAAGCAACAAAGATGATGAGGGGACTGGAGGATAAAACATACGATGGAACAGTTGCAGGAACTGGGCCTGGCTAGTCTAGTGAAGAGAAGGACCAGGGGAGACAGGAGAGCATCTTCCAATATTTGAGGGGCTGCCACAGAGAGGAGGGAGTCAAGCTATTTTTCAAGGTACCTGAAGGCCAGGCAAGGAATAATGGATGGAAACTGAACAAGGAGAGATTCAACCTGGAAATAAGGAGAATTTTCCTGACAGTGAGAACCATCAACCAATGGAACAGAAGTTGCCTTCACAAATTATGGGAGCTTCATCACTTGAGACTTTCAAGAAAAGATTGAACTGCCATCTGTCAGAAATGGTGTAGGTTCTCCTGCTTGAGCAGGGGGTTGGACTAGATGACCTATAAGGTCCCTTCCAACTCTGTTCATCTGTTAGTCAATAAACCCAACCCACGGATCCTTGATGTTGTAATGAGAAATTCTAATTCTGGCAAACGTGTAAAACAGTCTTGTGGACTCCACCTTCCCGTCCGCCGACTGGGAACAAAACAGAGAGATAGATAGTGCAAGTTGCATCTTGTGCTGAAATGCAGCCCTGGCAAGATGGGCCGGACAGGGAGGAATTGCACCTCATACACCCCCCACCACCACCACCACCACACCCTGTTGTTTCTCTTAAAATGTCCTCGTCGGCCAGCCAGGTACAAAGGACACCTTCACCTTTTTTGGGTTGGACAGGAAATGAGAAAGTCAGACTTTGGTTGGCGGTATTTCTTTTTACATTCCATTAACTTGTATTTTCCACTCGTGAGTCCGTAGAGTTCTCGGGAAGCAAATTACGAGCAACAATAACAACCGCAACGCAAAAGAACCAAACCAGAATAACAAAAACCAGAATAGTTGCTAAACTTCAAAGTGCCAATGTAAGCCGCGTTCCGATGATGACAAGCGACCACTGTATTCCTCTTGACTCTTCCCATCTCCGCTCCTCAAATCACAGCGCTTAATAAGAGCAGGGAGACAGTTTGGTCTAGTGGTTAAAGGCACCAGGCTAGAAAGTGGGAGATGGTGAATTCTAGTCCTGGCGTAGGCACAAAAGCTAGCTGGATAACTTTGGGCCAATCACCAGGAGATTGTGAGTTCTAGTTCCACCTTAGGCATGAAAGATGGCTAGGTGACTTTGGGCCAATCACCAGGAGTTTGTGAATTCTAGTCCCATTTTAGGCATGAAAGCCATCTGGGTGACTTTGGGCCAATGACCAGGAGATTGTGAGTTCTAGTCCCACCTTAGGCATGAAAGATGTCTGGGTGACTTTGGGCCAATCACCAGGAGATTGTGAGTTCTAGTCCCACCTTAGGCATGAAAGATGTCTGGGTGACTTTGTGCCAATTACCAGGAGATTGTGAATTCTAGTCCCACTTTAGGCATGAAAGCCATCTGGGTGACTTTGGGCCAATCACCAGGAGATTGTGAGTTCTAGTCCCACCTTAGGCATGAAAGATGTCTGGGTGACTTTGGGCCAATCACCAGGAGATTGTGAGTTCTAGTCCCACCTTAGGCATGAAAGATGTCTGGGTGACTTTGGGCCAATCACCAGGAGATTGTGAATTCTAGTCCCACTTTAGGCATGAAAGATTGCTGGGTGACTTTGGGCCAATTACCAGGAGATTGTGAATTCTAGTCCCACCTTAGGCATGAAAGCCATCTGGGTGACGTTGAATCAATCACTAGGAGACTATGAATTCTAGTCCCACCTTAGACACGAAAGCCACTAAGAGGCAGCGAGTTCTACTCCCGCCTTAGGCATGAAAGCCAACTGAGCCAGTCCCCTCTCTTTTAGCCTAACCTACCTCACAGGGTTGTTGCTTGGGGAAAACAGGAGGAGGAAATTGTGCTGCGTGTGTTCACCGCCTTATTTGCAAGAACAATTAAGTGGGATAAAAGTAAAAGGCGCCTGGATAGCTCTGCAGACAAAGGCACTGTAATTTAACACAGCTGTCTGCAATTAAAGTAAGTTCGAATCTCGCCAGGCTCAAGGTCGACTCAGCCTTCCATCCTTTCTAAGGTAGGTAAATTGAGGACCCAGTTTGTGGGGGCAATAAGCTGACTTTGTAAAAATATACAAAAGTATGAAGGCTATTGCTTAATGCATTGTAAGCTGCCCTGAATCTCCGGAGAAGGGCAGCATATAAATCAAATTTTAAAAAATAAATAAATAAACGCTATGAACACAGCTCCTTATATGCTGTGCTTCTTTGGGGTATTTTCTATTACTACAGTGCTTCTGTTCGAATCTGTTTGTCGTAGCTAGAGTTTTAATTGGCCAGCATGAACGTCCACATCGGAGTGTTGAGCCAGGAGACACCGAGGCCCACACCTGGAAGATGGACTTCCTTCCTCATCTTAAGCGGTGGCAGTTAAACAAAAATCCAAAAACTTCACTTGGGACCATTCTTTGGGTTCCTCCTGCAAGCAGGCTTCATAAATGGCTGTTAATTGGGACTGTCGAGCGGGTGAAGTCAATGTTTGGGAGATGAACAGTTATGTAAACCCAATAAATAAATAGCAGGTGGTCTATAGAAGAGACTGTTTGTAGCTCAGAGTTGAACTGTGGGGTCCTCGGTGCTCTCTTTAGCTCGGTGGTTCTCTAGCAGACATTTTGTTACCCAACTAGGTAATATCATCAGTGCTGGAAGAGAATGGAGGTTTGCAGAGTAGAGGAGAAGAGGAGGAGGAGGAGAGGGACTGCTGGTCTCTTGAGCTCGGCGGTTTTCTTGTAGATATTTTGTTACCCAACTAGGTAACATCATCAGTGCTAGAAGGGAATGTGGAGGGGTTGTGGAATGGAGGAGAAGAGGAGAAGGAGGAGGGCTGTGGGGTCCCTGCTGCTCTCTGAGCTTGGTAATTTTCTTGCAGACATTTTGTTTGCAAAATGAGGTTTACGGAGAAGAGGAGGAAAGGAGGGGGAGGAGGATGGGAAGAAGGGGGGGAAGGGGGAGGAGGACAATGACCATGGGGTCCTTGGTGCTCTCTTGGCTTGGTGATTTTCTTGCAGGCATTTTGTTACCCAACTAGGTAACATCATCAGTGCTAGAAGAGAATGGAGGTTTGTGGAGTAGAGGAGAAAGAAGAGGAGGAGAGAGGTTGGTGATCTCTGAGCTTGGTGGTTTTTCTTGCAGACGTTTCATTGCCCCACTGGGTAACATCATCAGTGCTAGGAGAGATTGGGGTTCTAGCACAGATGATTTGGGTCATGAAACGCCTGCAAGAAAACATCAGGCTCGGAGGCCCCCCACAAACAGCATTGCCGACTCCTCAAACCTCAGCAGTCACATCTGCAATGACAACCTATATATATATCAACCTTTCCCTCGTGCAGGTACGGGAAACACCGTGGCCATCATGATCAGCTACGCCAAAGGCCGAGAAATCCTTCAAAAGATCGAAAGGGGCTACCAGGTCACCATGGCTATCGAAGTAGGCAAAAAGCACGGGTCGTGGATGAATAATTACTCCATTTTCTTCGTCTCGGTGTCCTTCTTCATCGTCACGGCTGCCACGGTGGGATACTTCATATTTTATTCCGCTAGAAGGCTTCGGGTTGCGAGGGCCCAGAACAGGAGACAGGTGAGTTTCTCTCTCTCCCCCCCCCCACACCCCCTTTCCTCTTTGTTTTGTACCACCTGTTGCCAATCCGGCTTTTGGTTTTTTTTCAGTGATTGGCTTCCTTCTCTTATAAGCCATTCTTCCTTCTCTGGGATTTAGCAATAGCATTTAGACTTATATGCTGCCCCAGCGCACACTGAGAGGTTTATATTGTCGGCATATTGCCCCTCCACAACAATCTGGGTCCTCATTTTACTGACCACGGAAGGATGGTAGGCTGAGCCAACTTTCAGCCCTGTCAGGGTCGAACTTCAAGTTGTGGGCAGAGTTTTGAACAATTATGCTTCAGAGTAAAGGTAAAAGTTCCCCTTGCACATAGTTTTTTAATTGTATTGCTAGGGGTTTTAAATTGGGGCGGCCGTTTAATTTAATTTATTTTTAATTATTTTAACTTTTATATTGTATGTTATTTTAATTCTCGGCTGTTCACCGCCCTGAGTCCCTTCGGGGAGAAGGGCGGGATATAAATTTAATAATAAATAAAATAAATAAATAAATGTGCTAGTCGTTCCCGACTCTAGGGGATGGTGCTCATCTCCGTTTCAAAGCCGGAAGAGCCAGCGCTGTCCGAAGACGTCTCCGTGGTCATGTGGCCGGCATGACTAAATGCCAAAGGCGCACGGAACGCTGTTCCCTTCCCACCAAAGGGGATCCCTATTTTTCTACTTGCTGTCGAGCGTCAGCCTTCCTCAACACCTTACCGAATGGGAGGGGCAACGCCAGCTAGCCAAACAGTGTTTCTACCATAATAATGGGCACCAATGGGTATTGGTGACAGCGGTAGGGATGGGGCGATAGATGCAGAGATGTAGGTGGTGGGATTAATGGGGATTAATGGGGCTCGGTAAAACTGACTGTGGGCTGCTGGAGGCAGGAATCCCTTATCTTAGCCGCCCTGAGTCTTCGGAGAGGGGTGGCATACAAATTGAATTAATAAGTAATAAATCTGAGCTGAGGATGCTGCAGCGTGGAAGAGGCAGGTGCAGACCGATGATGTCATAAGCCCGCATCCCGTGCAGTGCTCCGCAGATTTAAAGAAACTGCAGTCAGTTCGCATAACAGCTGATGATGATGAAGGAGACGCCGGCAGGAGGACCTATAAAAGAGAGCTGAGTGGCAGACGCTCTCAGCTCCAACTTTATTCTTACTTAGAGATCCGGTGTTTGCTGAAGAGCTGTTGTGTAGCTGTTATTAAACTGAGTTAAATCCAAGCTTTCATTCGTGTTTAACTTGTCCAGCACAGGCAGGCAAGAAACGCCGAGACTTGCATTTTTTACGTGCTTTCGAACTGCTAGGTTGGCAGAAGCTGGGACAAGTCACGGGAGCTCACCCCGTTACGCGGCACTAGGGATTCGAACCGCTGAACTGCCGACCTTTCGATCGACAAGCTCAGCATCTTAGCCACTGAGCCACCACGTCCCTTTTAAGCTTCATAAAGGCCTGTCAAAAATTATCAGTTCTTAAACCTGCTTAACGCATTGTAAGCTGCCTGAGTCTCCGGAGAAGGGCGGCATATAAATCAAATTTAAAAAAAAAAAAAAAACCACCCCTCCGACAAACTCATCAAATTCAAATTCAATTATTTATTGTCAATGCACAACATGTGTACAATGAAATTGAACGAGCCTCCATGCAAAGTAGAGACCTCCAAGGTATTAGCATATATCCTGAGACATAACTTAATAATATAATGCATTTCTTGATTTGGAAGGAATTTGTGGAATTTCTATTGCGTCTGAATTCTTTTTTCTTCTTTTTTTTTTAATGGGGCAGTCTGGATTCTAGTTGGAAATAGTCTTGTCCCAGCCAGTCAATAACTCAAAAAGATACACTTTTCTGCATAATTTCAGCTTTTAGTGAACAGCTGTTTTCCAAGGTCGGTAAATAAATTCTTGGAATACTTTTATGGATTTTTTAAATAGCTCAAGCAACATCATTTAAGAGTCTGCCAAGACTTATCACCTCCAAAACCCTTGAAGCAAAACTGGTGTGTTCTCCTTTATAGATTTTCCGTGCGTAGCTGGCTTACCACCTTGGAGGCTCCCTTTGTTAGAAGCACTTCAGATTCTTCCAGTGTATAATTACAACCTTTCGCTTGCCTCTCCTATCCAAACTAAAATTAATTTGCCGAGGCTTAATGAGTTTGCCTCGGCGCGGAATGAATGCGTGCTAGCTCATCTGTATTTACAGCCTCATAAAAGGATGTGAATCTTTCGAGATCATTAAATATCTATGACGGTTTAATCTAATGCGTGCCACTGGATGACTGTTCGGTGAAAAGCTTCTGATATCACTGCAGTTGGCTGTCAAAGCAATCAAAGACGGAGGAGATTTTTCAAACCGTATCCACAGTAGTTGGCACTCATCAATAAGATTAAAAACAGAGAATATAGCTTTACTACTATCTCCGTCATGCCTGCAAGAAAAAATGAACTACTTGTAGCCAGATTAGAGTTGGTTTTTTTAGATGGATGGATGGATGGATATAGAAATATATTTATACGTATCTATCTACATAGCTACCTACCCACCCACCCACCTATCCATCCATCCATCCATCCATCCATCCATCCATCCATCCATCTATCTATCTATCTATCTATCTATCTATCTATCTATCTATCTATCTATATTTGTTTTTTCTTTTTGTAGGCCTAGTTGATTGGGATTTCACTGAACTAGGGCTGCATAAAAATCTTGGTTTACATAGGAAGAACCAGGCTAAAGAGAAATACATACATACATACATACATACATACATACATACATACATACATACATACATACAGGAGATAGGATAGGATAGGATAGAATTCTTTATTGGCCAAGTGTGATTGGACACATAAGGAATTTGTCTTTGGTGCATCTGCTCTCAGTGTACATAAAAAAAAAATATATATATTTGTCAGGAATCATAAGATATAACACTTAGTGATAGTCATAGGATATTAATAAGCAATCAAATCATACTAGGAAACAATCAAAACAATGTAAGTTGTAAAGATACAAGCAACATGGATATAGCCACAAGTGGGAAGAGGTAGGTACTAGTAAGGATGAGAAGAAGAATAGTAATACAGTCTTAGTAGTTAATTTGACAGTGTTGTGGGAATTAGTTGTTTAGCAGAGTGATGGCATTCGGGGAAAAACTCCTTGCGTCCTGTTGTTCTGGTGTGCAGAGCCCTATAGTGTCATTTTGAGGGTAGATATACATACACATACACACACACACACACAAAAACTATATTATAGAGCCTGAGTGGCGCAGCAGACTAATGCTACTGTTAAAAGGTAGTATTTAGCTTCCAGCTGCCTGCAATTACTGCGAGTTCAATTCTCACCAGGCTCAAGGTTGACTCAGCCTTCCTTCCTTTCTAAGATAGGTAAAATGAGGACCCAGTTTGTGGGGGCAATAAGCTGACTTTGTATAAAATATACAAAAGTATGAAGGCTACTGCTTAACGCATTGTAAGCCGCCCTGAGTCTCCGGAGAAGGGCGGCATATAAATCAAAAATTAAAATTAAAAAAAATAAATATATGCATTCTTATATATATTCATTTTATATATGCATATATACTGTGTTTCCCCGAAAATAAGACTGTCTTATTTTTTATTTTTTGAACCCTGAAATAAGAGCTTGGCTTTATTGCCATGCGCTCAAAAGCCCAATTGGGCTTATTATCAGGGGATGTCTTATTTTGGGGGAGACAAGGTATATGCATTGTTTTCATTTCTACAGGAAAAAAAAATTGGCAGAGGCCAGTTCAAAGCGATGTATGCTTTGGCTGAAACATAGCAGAAATTTGCAGAACCGCATCTGAAATGAGCGTCTTCCATTTTTCCATTCCTGTTCTGGGCAGTCCATATTCTCATCTAGTTTGATGAAAAGAAGGACCAGGAAGACATGATAGCAGTGTTTCAGTGTCTCAGGGGCTGCCCCAAAGAAGAGGGAGTCAAGCTATTCTCCAAAGATAACCTGAGGGCAGGACAAGAAGCAATGGGTGGAAACTAATCAAGGAGAGAAGCAATTTAGAAATAAGGAGAAATTTCCTGACATTTAGAACAATTAATCCGTGGAACAACTTGCCTCCAGAAATTGTAAATGCTCCAACACTGGAAGTTTTTAAGATGTTGGATAACCATTTGTCAGAAATGATGTAGGGTCTCCTGCCTAAGCAGAGGGTTGGACTAGAAGACCTCCAAGGTCCCTTCCAACTCTGTTATTCTATAGAAAGGAGCTTGGGAGAGCGTGAAGCAAGTTCAGGCAAGCCATTTTTTCACCTTGTTTTCACCTTAAAACAGTCACCTGAAAACAATTCAATTGGCATGTGGGAATTTCCACTGGAATGTTTCCCGTTTGGCTACAAACCCCTCTGAATAAACCAGGTAATATTTTTGTACGTGCCAAGTAAACACTTCAAACCACATACCTGCAGACTCTTGACTTATAATTAGGCCCTGGGTAATTCTCCTAGGTAGGTTTGCTCCATCTCTCCAAAAGAAACACCCTCCCCCATTGTTCATTGTGTAGCATATCTAAACATTGGACAGGAGAACCAGTTCTGCACTGACACACTGCTTGTCTATTACAGAGACGGCTGAAAGCGGACGCCAGGAAAGCGATTGGACAGCTGCAGCTGCGCACGTTAAAACAGGGAGACGAGGTACGGCCCAAAAAAGAACAAGGAAACGGATTCATCCTCTTTCCGTGCAGGTTGCACCGGTCTAAAAAAAAAAAGGCGCCTTCCCAGCCTCCTCTTCTTACTGTTCCAGAAAATAACTATCTCCCTAGTTCGTTGGTTTTAAATGTCCTATGATGGCAGGGGTGGGTTTCGACCGGTTCTGTCATCATGGACACTCTATGCATGCGCTCACATTTGCGAACTGGTAGCAAAGGTAAGTGAAGCCCACTACTGCAATGATGGTGAACCTTTTTGCCATCGTGTGCCAAAAGCGGGGGGAGCAGGGAGTGTCGCGACATACATGCCCACACCTGTAATTCTATGCGCCCCACTCCCCGTGTATGCGTGCGCGACCCCCTGCTTTGGCATGGTGGCCCGGTAGGCCCATTTTTCGCCCTCCCCAGGCTCCAGAGCCTTTCTAGGAGGAGGGCAAAAGCAGCCTTCCCCACCTGCCCGGACGCCCTCCAGAGGCAGGAAACAGTCTGTTTCCCTACTTCCGGTGGGCCCAGAAGGCCCAAAAATCAGCGGGCCGGTACCCGCATGTGCGCCAGATCTGAGCTCACGTGCCCGCCGATATGGCTCCCTGTGCCACCAGTTCGCCATCACGCCACTACTTAGTGATGGTACACTTTTCGGCACCAAGTGCCAAAAAGGGCATGCTTGCACGCCTGGGCCACAACCCAGAAGAGGAGCTGCTCAGGGTACATGCGCCCACCCCACCCCTGAAAATGAACTTCCGGTTTCAACTACTGAACTTCCGGTTTCAGCCAGCTATTCTTCCAGGTTTCTGATGTGCATGCGCATACAACAATCAGCTGGCAGGGGTGGATGCTCACACAGGAAAACGGACGACCAGCTCTTCTAGTTTCCAGCACTACTGCACACAAAAAAGGTCAGCTGATCGTCGTGCGCGCATGCGCACCAGAAACCCGGAAGAGCCACGCGTGTCATAGGTGCGCCATCACAGTCCTATAATGTCTCAATGTCGCCTGTTACGCAGGGCCAGTTTGATTCTCCCACCTGAGTTCCTTACAGCAAGGAAGAGGAGTTTGAACAAAAGTCGGTGTGAAAAAAGAGAGAGAGAGAGAACCTGATTCGGAGGGTTGATTTTAAACAACGGTTTGGTCGAAGTTTGTTCAGGAGGTGGTGACTCGTTCGACGAATTACGCCCGGTTAATTTCCGGGAGCCAAAAATAAATAAATAAAAGGTTATATTGTGGCTCCAGGTTTATCTTTTTAATTTTAAAACGGGAGGGCAGTTCCAGAGGCAGACCCAAATAAAAACATCGGGTCTATTTATTGATTTGACTGGTATGTGACCCATCTCGTCTAGATTGTTGTTGTAGAACGGGTGTGTCATAAACTCACGTCGTCACATGATGTATCGTGACTCCCCCTCCCCCCTCCGGTTGCTAAACCAGGGGTCGGTGTGGCCGGCGCTTGATGCATCCGGCCCGCAGGCCACAAGTTTGACACCCCTGTTGTAGAAGGTGTTGCTGTGTTTACTTGTTGCCTGTGTGTTTCTATAGATCAGGGATGGCTAACCTTTCTGCCATCACGTGCCAGGAAGGGGGGAGGGCGGGGGAGGTTCACACGCGTGTGTGTCCACACCCATAATTCTATGCGCCCCGCCCTGCACATGCTCCTGGCACACGATGGCCCGGTAGGCCCGTTTTTCTTTCTCACCTGGCTCCAGATCCTCTCTCTGCATCTGGGGAGGGCAAAAACAGCCTCCCCCCTCAGGCCCTTCGGAGGCAGGAAACAGCCTGTTTCCCTACTTCTGGTGGGCCCAGAAGGCCAGAAAATCAGCTGGTCTGTGGGCGCATGCACGCCAGAGCTGAGCTGGTGTGCCCATTGATATGGCTACGTGTGCCACCTGTGCCATAGGTTCGCCATCACGGCTATAAATCCTATTCTCAACTCGCAAAGCTTTGCTAGTCTGGGTCACGAGTTAATTAGGGCATTCGTCGGAGCCCTGGCACCTATTACTCTAACAACAGGGGTGTCAAACTCAAGGCTCACAGGCCGAATGCAGCCCACGGCGCTGCCCTGGAAACATCGAAGGACCGGCCCATGGTGCCTCTGCGAGCGAAAATGGAACTACTCCCCAGGTCTTTTTTCGCTGGCGGAGGGTTGCAGGAGGCCGTCGCAGCCGGAAACGGAGCTTGGGAGCCGTTTTTTGCTAGCAGAGCACTCGGGCCACCACCGATGCCCCCCTCCCCCACCCCGACACAAGTGATGTTGAGCTGGCCACGTCCACCCCGCCCCCCCCCCAAGGTCAAACGCAACCCTGATGTGGCCCTCAATGAAATCAAGTTTGACACCTCTGCTCCAGTGGTGGAATTCACTTTTTTTTTTTTACTACCGGATCTGTGGGCGTGGCTTCGTGGGCATGGCAGGGGAAGGATACTGCAAAATCCCCATTCCCTCCCCACTCCTGGGGGAAGGATACTGCAAAATCCCCATTCCCACCCCACTCCAGGGGAAGGATACTGCAAAATCCCCATTCCCTCCCCACGCCAGGGAAAGGATACTGCAAAATCCCCATTCCCACCCCACTCCAGAGGAAGGATATTGCAAAATCCCCATTCCCTCCACACTCCAGGGGAAGGATACTGCAAAATCCCCATTCCCTTCCCACGCCAGGGAAAGGATACTGCAAAATCCCCATTCCCTCCCCACTCCAGGGGAAGGATACTGCAAAATCCCCATTCCCTCCCCACTCCAGAGGAAGGAAACTGCAAAATCCCCATTCCCTCCACACTCCAAGGGAAAGATACTGCAAAAATCTCCATTCCCACCCCATTCTGGGACCAGCCAGAGGTGGTATTCGCCAGTTCTCCAAACTACTCAAAATTTCTGCTACCGGTTCTCCAGAACCTGTCAGAACCTGCTGAATAGACCCCCTGCCCTGCTACTAACACCTTGCCTCTAGATCAGGGATCCACCACCCCTGGGTCGTGGACAAGGCCACAGCATGCCAATAACCGGGCCTCGTAAACAAGCAAAAGTCCCAATCCGCAGGATGCAGGCAGCACGCGAACCTACACCTGTTCTGGTCCATTGAAAAACTTCAAGGAACTTCAAGGTCTCTGGCGCTACTCTAGATCCGTAATGGCGAACCTATGGCATGCGTGCCACAGGTGGCACGTGGAGCCATGTCGCCTGGCACGCCAGCTTAGCTCCGGGAGCCTTTGGAGGCTGGGGACAGCAAAAAACATCACTTCCTGTCCCACCAGGAGTTGGGAAATGAGCCATTTCAGGCCTCCGGAGGGCCTCAGAGGGAACGGGGAAGGCTGTTTTCGCCCTCCCCAGATGCATAGAGAGGATCTGGAGCCAGGTGAGAAAGAAAAACGGGCCATCACATGCCAAGAGCAGGGTGCGGAGCGCACAGAATTATGGGTGTGGGCACATGTGCGTGCGAACCTCCCTGGCCCCCCCCTTTCCTGGCACGTGATGGCAAAAAGGTTAGCCATCCCTGCTCTAGATGATTCTCGGGAATCCTCTCTTCGTTAGCTCTGCGTTGTAAAACATCATTTTCGTAGTCTTCAAAGCAGGCGGGCCGTCCGTTTGAGGGGAAGTCAGCTGAGTCCCAGTCCCTCCCAATGTTGTAGGTCCTCCGGTTAGTTGAACACAAGAAGAAATGTTTTCTTTGCTCTTCTTTTCTTTAAAGGAAACCGGACCCGATGCAGACAGCTGCGCGGTGTGCATTGAAGCCTACAAACCAAATGATGTCGTCCGAATTTTAACCTGCAAGTAGGTTAATTCTTTTTTTTTTTCCCCTCCCGAATCGTTAACCTTCTGCTGCTCGTTCTCCTTCTCTCTTCCTCTGTGCTGCTGGGGAGCTGTTTTCACTGGCTCAGCTTTTGTTTCTCATGACCGGTAATTGGCTCAAACAACACTTCTCAGTTGAGTTCAGATGTCATTGAACAGTCTAGATTGGGGGTGTCCAACCTTGGCAACTTTAAGACCCGTGGACTTCAACTCCCAGAATTCCCCCTGCCAGCAAGGAGAATTCTGGGATTTAAAGTTCACCAGTCTTAAAAGTTGCCAAGGTTGGAAATCTCTGGTCCAGAATGCTATAATTGCATTTAGCTTTGGATTACCATTTAAACATACATACATGCCCTGTTTCTCCCAAAATAAGACATCCCCTGATAATAAGCCCAATTGGGCTTTTGAGCGCATGGCAATAAGGCCAAGCTCTTATTTCAGGGTTCAAAAAAATATAAAACAGGGCCTTATTTTCGGGAAAACACTTTACATACATACATATACATACATACATGTATAGATAGATATACATATAGATATAGAGATAGAGATTATAGATATAAATTAGTTATAGATTAGGGGTAGGTAGGTAGGTAGGTAGGTAGGTAGGTAGGTAGATAGGACTATATTTTAAATAACTGCAGACTTAAATTCAAGATCTTCACATTTTGTTAGGTTCCTAAAATAACAAAAACATTTGCATAAGAATATTCCTACAAGTAGACCTATATTACAATATGCATATCAAGACTCCCTATTTTAACTGTTGAATGATGATAAAGTTCTGTGCCCTTTTAAACAGCAATTGTATTCAAAAGACAACAAGACAAAAAGTACACCTGGTTTGGTATATTCCTGTATGATATGTGAGCAAACCTATTAGTGATTGATTAGCACACCATGACTAAGCAAAACATAGCATAATGTGTGAACCAAGTCTCTCTCTCTCTCTCTCTCTCTCTCTCTCTCGATATATAGATATAGATATAGATATATAAGCAAAAAAATGTTGCTCAGATCTGTTCAGTTGTGCTGTAAATTCTTTTCTTTTTCGTTCCCAGCCATCTGTTTCACAAGAGCTGTATTGATCCTTGGCTGCTGGAGCATAGGACCTGCCCCATGTGTAAATGTGACATACTCAAGGCTTTGGGAATTGAGGTAAACCTGTAGTTAAGTTACTCATTACCTGCTTTTTTTTTTTGCTATTACCGGATTTGCTCGAGAAAACAACTGCAGTGCCCTTAATCCTCTTGGAAAGACATTTTCGCCCATTTACAAGGAGGAAACTTAACAACGGTTTCCATGCAAGTCCTCCACACCTGTTTCTAAGGTTGCTTTCCATGCAAAAAAAGGTTGCATGCTTAAGATGTTCTGTTCATTAACCTTCTTGGAAAGGCAATTAAAATCCCTTCGGGGAACAGTACACTAAACATACCATGTTTCCCCGAAAATAAGACCCTGTTTTATATATATATATATATATATATAGTGACTCATCTCACTTGCAGAGCAACACCCCTGGCCTCCTTTTTGCTGTCAGAGGCCTTCAGGAATTTCTTCCGCGATCAGCAAGGCTTTCCTGAAGACCTCTACAGCCGATAACAGAGTTCTGGATCGATCCAGAGCTCTATTATCAGCTGCAAAGGCCTTCAGGAAAGCTGCAGAAGAAATGGGCCAGCAAGGCAGGTGTCGTGGGGTGCGAGGCCTGGTTGCAGCTGTCCGAAGGTAAGTAGTAGGGCAGCTCCACCACCCCCTACATTCCCCACCCCGGCTTAATTTTTTCCCATGCACCCTGGAGTGGGCAGGATCTTAATTAGGGCTTATTTTGGGGGGTACGGCTTATATTGGCCGCACATGTAAAAATCAAGCTAGGACTTACTTTCTGAGTAGGTTGTATTTTCGGAGAAACGTGGTAGATGGCAAGAAGATAGCTTTTAGCTTTGCGGAAATCGCTTTATTTTGCTAACAAGTTTCTCCCCCTGAAATCGTACTTGACACAGGTGGACATAGAAGAGCGAGGAGAAGCTACTCAAGCCCCCACAGCATCCAGTGAAGCCTCTAACGTCGTTTCGGCTAATGAAGAAGATAATCACAGCGAGACTGCCTCATCAGGGTACGCTTCCGTGCAGGGAACCGACGAACCGGCTCCGGAGGAGCGTGTTACTCCAGAGAGTAAGTTTCCTACGGCTCTCGTAAATTTACAATCACTCGGTTCTTTCTCTGGAGCAAGCATCCTTTTGGTTTTCCTTTGGCATAAAAAAAAATTGGCCGGTGTCGGCTGCCCCCTGCTGGGGATTCAGTGGCACCACCACGAGGAGAGGGAATTTACATTCATTCCAGGGCTCAGTTCCTTTTTGCACAAAAGTAGGGATGACACTAGCAGATTGTGCTGGTGTCCGGTGTGTGTGTGTGTGAGAGAGAGAGAGAGAGAGAGATTTCCCTTCAGTTGAGCTACGACAAATAGATTCGAACAGAAGCACTGTAGTAATAGAAAATACCCCAAAGAAGCACAGCATATAAGGAGCTCTGTTCATAGCATTTATCTATTTATTTACTTGTATCCCACTTCCTTATTTCTTGCAAATAACTCAAGGCGGTGAAAATATGCAGCACAATTTCCTCCACCTGTTTTCCCCAAACAACAACCCTGAGAGGTAGGTTGGGCTAAAAGAGAGGGGACTGGCCCAGTTGGTTTTCATGCCTCAGGTGGGAGTAGAACTCGCTGTCTCTTAATGGTTTTCATGTCTAAGGTGGGACTAGAACTCACCGTCTCCTAGTGATTGGCCCAAAGTTATCCAGCTGGCTTTCATGCCTAAGGTGGGACTAGAACTCACAATCTCCTGGTGATTGGCCCAAAGTCACCCAGCTGGCTTTCATATCTTAAGGTGGGACTAGAACTCACAATCTCCTGGTGATTGGCCCAAAGTTATCCAGCTGGCTTTTGTGCCTACGCCAGGACTAGAATTCACCATCTCCCACTTTCTAGCCTGGTGCCTTTAACCACTAGACCAAACTGTCTCTCTGCTCTTATTAAACGCTGTGATTTGAGGAGTGGAGATGAAAGCGAGACACAGAAACGTTACGATTCTTTTTTTTTTTTAAAGTCCCTTTGCTGAATAAAAGGCTGGATTTCCCAGGCATTCAGCTTTAAAGCTCTAGAAAACTATTCCGGCATCACGAACCCGGGAGTGTTTTCTGAAGCTCCCGGATGTTGTTTTTATGTGCAGCCTTAAAAGACTTATTAACAGCAACTTTATTAATCCAGCCATCCCATAAACACAAGTGATTGGCTAAATCAGTGCAGATTATTGCTGCTGTTGGAAATACAGCAACAACTTTTATACCCTGTTTCCCTGAAAATAAGACCCAACCGGAAAATAAGCCCTAACCTGATTTTTCCGGGATGCTTGTAATATAAGCCCTATCCCAAAAATAAGCCTTGGTTATGATCGTCAACCAGACGGAGGCATTTAGTACTGTATTTTCCCCCCAAAATAAGACCTAACTGGAAAATAAGCCATAATGCTTCTTTCGGAGCAAAAATTAATATAAAACCCAATCTTATTTTGGGGGAAACACGGTGCACACCTGTAAACCTTTTAAGCTACTAAATACGTATAGCATTTTTTTTTAGATCTATCAAGACTCCGTCTCCATGAATTCCCAATGAGTAGGGCCATTGCAATATTGCATTTCTGATTTATCCTGACAAGATGGAGAAGCCTGGCGTAGCTCCTGAATTTCTGACCTAGGCTTCCTTAGAAAGTAAACAGCACAATCTTAGTCCCAGCAAATCTCTTTAATTCATACGGTTGTGAATGATTGTCATTCCCAGTCCGAAAGGCTTCTCAAACAGTCTTTCAGAGGAGTGTTCATAAACACCCACCTTATCTCCCTTGGAATGCTGCCAGAGAATTAATTGCCACACGCAGGGCAAGGCCTAACTTAGCACAGAGTCAAACAGAATTTCCCAGAGCTTTTACCAGCCAGATGAACTAATTGCTTCCTGCAAAAGCTCACGTCCCGTTCGTGTCTCTTTTATGTCTTATGGGAGAGGCCAGTCATCTCCAAGTCTTACTCCCAAGTCGACCCTGTTTTCATAATTGATCCTGTCTCCTGGCAGCTCTGTGCATGCACACACTGGGAACAGGCTCACACTCTTCTTCTGCCTCGCTGATGTCAGACTCCGGAGAGTCCGGAGGCAGCAAAGAACTACCAGATGGCCTCGGCCCCTTCTCTGCCTCCAACTCAGAGCCATCGTCCGAGCCTTCCCCAGACTCCAGAACTGGCCCACGTTCCTCCCCAACCTCCTCACTGTCCGAATCTGCTGCCAGCTCTGCTGGCCGCTGACGGGCCACAATACCTGATTTAATTAATGAACTCTTTTAAAAATAAAAGCCAGCCTTTTAAGAAGAGGAACTTTAATAGTAGTTGAAGCAAATAATAGAAGTTGAATGAAAAGCCTTACTTTTGCACGATCCATTCTAGGATTTGGCTGTTATGATCTTGTTCGTAAACCAGCAAATCCTCAAATGGATCTTTCAAAGAAGGCTTTTGAGTGAAAATCCTCCTTAATAAAATTAAGGAACTGTAGAAGGCTAATAAGGATTATTGGCCTAGTTGGCAAAAACGTCCCCCAGCAGATGATCTTTTCCGACTTGAAAAATTCAGTTTCTATTTTTTGAACTGTTCAAACCGATCTACGAACTTAACAGCGTTTTAAGCTATTAAGTCCTACCCTTTCTTTTAAAATTCCAATTAACGTCCCGGTTAAGCTTTCAAACCGCTTGGCATTGGAAGGTCAGGGGCTTGGCCGAAGCCCACCAGTTGTCACTGCAGCCACAGTCTTCTCGTTCGTAGAAGAGTTTCTTCTCTTCTCCCCGCGTCCTGCTAGCAGATAAAAGCTCTGAATTGAAAATTCAGAAATCAAAATCAAAATTGAAAACTGCACACATATAGACTGGGTGAAACCAGGCTTAATAGCAGTAACTGGGAGCGGGATCTCTGCGTCCCATCTCAAGGTCTCCCTGTAGCTCATGCCGTGTCAAACTCGAGTTCATTGAGGGCCGCATCAGGATTGTTTGACCTTGGGGGGGGCATGGCCCGCATGACGTCACTCGTGTTGGGGGGCACCTGTGGTGGCCCGAGCGTTCTGCCAGTGAAAACAGGCTGCCGAGCTCCGTTTTCGGCTGGGATGACCTCTTGCAACCCTCTGCCAGCAAAAACGGAGCTCGGGAGGGCCACCCGTGGCCCTCTCGAGCTCCGTTTCTGCTGATAGAGGTACCATGCGCCAGTCCGTCGCTATTTCCAGGATGGCCCCGCGAACCAGATCTAAGCATCCCAGGCCTTGAGTTTGACACCTCTGCTGTAGCTTGTACAAGAAATGTGACAGGCTGTGACAAGATAGCCAACCATCTCCTTCTCCTCTTCCTCCTCCTCTTCTTCTTCCTCCTCCTCCTCTTCCTTTCTCCAAAGGTGACCATCTCCGTCTTGTCAACGCTTCACAGACCCCGGATGTGGAGACGCTGCCCCATCTTGACAATCCCGCCTTCGAAGGGGACGAAACCCCAGAGCAGCCGGCGAAATCCTAGGTGCTGTTGGCGCAAGACTGCAGTTCGCTTGAGACACCAGCATCCCACTGCGATGACACCGCTAAGACTGATGTAGCAGCAATGTTCCCTTGAGACACCCACCCCCCACCCCCTCACCCCCCACCCCAAGATAAAATACACAATTTTAAGATTGCAATTTTCTGGAGTGGCCTGCCCATTCACTTTTTCTCTTCCTTCCTTCCTTCCTTCCTTCCTTCCTTCCTTCCTTCCTCCTTCCTTCCTTCCTTCCTTCCTTCTTTCTTTTCTTTTCTTTCTTGCTTTCTTTCTTTCCTGAATTAGTGTTTTAGTATTATTGTTCTTTTCTTCTGATGCCATCCAGGAAAAACCATCCTACCAAGACATCGGAGCGTTATCACTTTTTCCTGCAGTAGAATTTCAGCTGTTCATCCTACAGAAGCATTAACCCATTGGGGGGAAAAAAAGAAAATATATATCTATCTCTCTATATATCTACGTACCGATCTTCAAATTCAGTTTAAATGAATCGAGTTAGCTTTTGGAATAAATTTTAATCGTTCGGGTGTCGAAACCACTGGGTGTCTCTTTGCTGCTTTTCAGCACTGGTTTGAATTCGCTTGGCTTTTATGTAATTTTATTTTCCTTTCCTTGATTTTTTTTTTTTTTTTGAGAATCGCCTCTTGCCGCGTTAAATCGCCAAGCAATTTCAGCTTTCAATCTTGACGGTAAAAGACACTGGGAATATTTTCTTTCCACCCCTACCCCTTCACTGATTATAGAGCAAAATTGAACACTCTGAAACCAAATGGACATTGCAAAAACGTTCAAGGGAACAGAATGCAACTTATTTTGTATTGGGGTGGGGAGGAAAAGCTGCGTAAAATTTGCCCTGTGTTGTTGTTTTTTTGTTGTTGTTCTTGCAATCTTAACAAGCTGCCACACGGCCCAATGAATGGTCCAGTTTTTAGTTAGTGCTGCTCTTAACTTTGTCAGAGGCTTAAATAGGCCTCGCTCAAAGGGGATTATTTTGCTGTTGCTGCTGCTACTCCAAGGAAAACCGCTAAGTGAAGAGACCGAAAGAGTACTGTAAATATTCAGAATAGGCAATGCACAGACATGGCTAAACTGGAAATTAATGAATGGGTGAACTTTTAAAATTATTTTTCTAACGCGTAAAACGGGAATAAGGGGAACATAGGGTGCCTTTGCCTAGAGCCCAAAAACCTCCTCCACCAAAGTGAATTACCTATATTTAATAATGCACTTTATCTCGCGTCTGTGTTTCCGTTTCTGATTGCAAGTCTAGCTTAAGTTCAACCGACGAACTGCGATAATACCTTTTGAAACTTTTTCCACGTTGATTCCGATAGGGGAAAAAAAAAAATCAGTACGCCTTTCTCCCTTTTTGCATAGTGTTCAATGAAATTGTAAATATCTGATTTCTACTGAATTCCTTTGAATACAAAATGTAAATAAAGCTATACGACTGCCTGTTTAGGATGTTCTCTTTTTTTAAAAAAAAAATAATAATAATAAAAACGGTTGAATATAAGCTGGCGTCTGTTCGACAGTCTAACCCTAACGTTGCAGAAATCCAGACAGTTAAAATTGCTTCTCCTTCTTCTCCTTCTCGTTTTTCTCTTTTTCTTCTCCTTCTCCTCCTCCTCTTTCTTCTCCTTCTCCTACATCCATCATCGGACATTGGCGATCCTATTTTTATCAACAGCCGCACAAAAAAGTGCTGCTTATTTTTGTCCAAACCCAGTCCCTCAGTTTTTGAAGCCATGATATTCTTCTTCTGCCTGGACCTCGTTTGCCTTCAGTCTTTCCTTGGAGGATTAAGTGAAGGATGTTGTATTTTTCCAGATGTCGCATCCCATGTCCAAAATATTCTAACTTTTGCTTTTTTATGGTTTTGATGATTTCCCTCTGCTTTCCCAGGCGGCTTATTCCTTCCTCCTTTCTGATTTTGTCAACCCAGCTCCTACGTAACAGCCGCCTGTAAATTCCACATTTCAAATGCTTCTGGTCTCTTCAAGTGGATTTCTGGCAGAGACCCAATTCTCCACTCTGCAGAGCAGATTGCTTGGTAGTATACATCTCAACTTAAAAATTATTTCCATTCTTAAAAAAAAACCAGCTAGCTTAAGTAGGTAAGACATGAGAAATTAATTACCATGATATGAAGAGAAGCCATCTAGGAACTGATTACCATACAGATGGTAATTTTTTTTTTTTAAATAGGTTTTTTTTATCCAGGTTGTGGGGAGATTTGTCTAAATAGCTGCAGATTTGGGTGCATAAAACACTTCTGATTTAAGGCAAGAATTGTAGCGGTTGTTAGGTAACACCAGAAAAATAGGATAAAGCGAATGCATATTTGACATTACATGTTTTGACAGCAGCAAGAATTGTATTTGCACAAAACTGGAAGAACGAGCTGAAACACCCACAGAAGAAGATATAATTTAAAAAATATTAGATTGTGCAGAAATGGACAGATTAACACTGTCGATAAAAGAAAAGGAAGACACAGAGTACTATCGGGAATCCTGGATATTGTATGCAGCCACAGGTGAACGTGATTTCCGAGACGGCAGGAGGTTGCAAGTTTCTCCGGCTGTTACCTGTGACTCCACCTCTTCCCACCTGAGGAACCAAAAAGTCCTGGAGTAACAACGGCAACGGGGACTCCTGGGATCGCTGTTGCTAAGCGATGCGGTCATTAACGCCTTGTTATTATTAGGTATTACATTTGTTCGCTGCCCATCTGACGCCGAGCGAGTGGCTCTCCATGTTAGAAAATAATAAATACAACCAACATGTATACCGTAAGAGCCAAAACACTCCTTAAGATGCGGATGTGCTTAGCAACGGAATTTCAGGCACCGATAGCCATCGTTAACGTGAGGACTGCCTGTAGAGGAAATGAGATGGTTGGCAGCATAGAGAGCTGGATTATTGCCAATAATGACAGACGCCAAATTCTGGGAATTGTAACACACACACACCTTTAAAGGCATAGAAAGAGAGAGAGAGATGGATGGATGGATAGATGGATAAAGAGATGGATGGATGGATGATCGATCGATAGATGATAGATAGATAGATAGATAGAGATAGGTATCCTGTTTTCCCTAAAATAAGACATCCCCTGATAATAAGCCCAATCGGGCTTTTGAGCACATGGCAATAAGGCCAAGCGCTTATTTCAGAGTTAATATATAGATATATAAGACAGGGTTTTATTTTTGGGGAAACATAGCAGATAGATAGATAGATATGGATAGAGATAAATAGATAGATAGATGATAGATAGATAGATAGATAGATAGATAGATAGAGATAGGTACCCTGTTTTCCCCAAAATAAGACACCCCCTGATAATAAGCCCAATCGGGCTTTTGAGCGCATGGCAATAAGGCCAAGCGCTTATTTCAGGGTTCAAAAAAATATAAGACAGGGCCTTATTTTCGGGAAAACATGGTATGTATGGTGGGGAATTCTGGGAATTGAACTCCTCCTGCCATCTTTAAAGCTGCATGAATGCTGGGGAATTCTGGGAATTGAAGTCCCCCCCTCCTCTAAAAAAGAGGCATGCTGGCTACGTTTTGGGAGCTGAAGCCCCCCTCCTCCTTCAAAAGGGCATGCTGGCTGGGGAATTCTGGGAATTGAAGCCCCCCCTCCTCTAAAGAGGCATGCTGGCTGACTTTTGGGAGCTGAACCCCTCCTCCCTTTTCAAAAGGACCTGCTGGCTGGGGAATTCTGGGAAATGAAGCCCCCTCCCACCTTTAAAACCGCATGCATGCTGGGGAATTCTGGGAATTGAAGTCTTCCCCCCCCCTCCTCTAAAGAGGCATGCTGGCTGGCTTTTGGGAATTCTGAAGCCCCCCTCCTCCTTTAAAAGGGCATGCATGCTGGGGAATTCTGGGAATTGAAGCCCCCCCTTCTCTAAAGAGGCATGCTGGCAGGCTTTTGAGGATTCTGAAGCCCCCTCCCCTTTGAAAAGGACCTGCTGGCTGGGGAATTCTGGGAATTGAAGTCCCCTCCTCCCACCTTTAAAGACATACACGTGCTGGGGAATTCTGGGAAATTAAACCCCCCCCCTCCTCTAAAGAGGCATGCTGGCTGGCTTTTGAGGATTCTGAAGCCCCCTCCCCTTTGAAAAGGACCTGCTGGCTGGGGAATTCTGGGAAATGAAGTTCCCCTCCTCCCACCTTTAAAGACATACACGTGCTGGGGAATTCTGGGAATTAAAGCCCCCCCCCCTCCTCTAAAGAGGCATGCTGGCTGGCTTTTGGGAATTCTGAAGCCCCCTCCCCTTTCAAAAGGACCTGCTGGCTGGGGAATTGTGAGCATAGAAAACCCCCTCCCACCTTTAAAAACACAAGCATGCTGGGGAATTCTGGGAAACGAAGAGGGCCCAAAGTGGTCAAAACAGGAACCCCCCCAACCCCCTCCCCTCCCCCCCTCCCTTCCCCAAAGCCACCGACAGCTGCCGCCTAGCCCGCCTCCCTAACCTGCCTATCTTCTCCCTAGCCCCGCCCCCGCGCGCGGGGCACGCCGGGGCTCGTAGTGCGTCCCTCCGCCCCGGGAGGCGGCGAGCCCCGGCGGAAGCGGCGCCGGCACTCCATTTCCCGGCGAGCGCCGCGGGAGGGGTGGGCGGTGCGAGGAGCCCGGCCCCGCCCCGTCCAGCTGAGCCCGGGCTGGGTGGCGGCGGCGGCGATGTGGCTGAAGCCCGAGGAGGTGCTGCTGAAGAGCGCGCTGCGGCTCTGGGTGCAGGAGCGATGCAACCGCTTCTTCGTGCTGCAGCGGCGCCGGGGAGGCGGCCAGGAGGGCGGCGGAGGAGGCGGACTGACCGGTAAGCGCGCGGCTCCGGCTCAAGGAAGGGGGGGGGCGGCGCTTCCCTTCCCTCCCCTCCCCCACTCCCCCACTCCCCCCCCCACGGCGTCCTACGGCCGGCCCTGCCAGGTGGGCCAGGAGGGAGGAGGGGGTCCTGCTTTGCATTCTCCTTCCCTTCCCCTTCCCCCCCCTCCCATGCCATCCTCCTGTTGGCCCTGCCAGGTAGGCCAGGAGGGAGGAGGGGGTCCTGCTTTGCACTGTCCTTCCCTCCCCCCCCCCCTTTTATCCTCCTGGCGGCCCTGCCAGGTAGGCCACGAAGGAGGGGGTCTTGCTTTGCATTGCCCTTCCTTCTCCTTCCACCCCCCCCCCCGTTATAATCCTGCCGGCCCTGCCAGGTAGGCCAGGAGGGAAGGGGGGGTGTTCAACTCCGGGGGTCAGCCTTTGCATTGTCCTTTCCTCCCCACTCCCTCTCCCTCTCCCCCCTCCATGGCGTCCTCCGGCCGGCCCTGCCAGGTGGGTCAGGAGGGAGGAGGGGGTCCTGTTTTGCATCGTCCTTCCCTCTCCCCATCCCCAGTGGCATCTTTTCTGCCGGCCCGGCCAGGTAGGCCAGGAGGAAAAAGGGGGTCCTGCTTTGCATTCTCCCTCCCCCTCCCCCTGTTATCATCCTGCCGGCCCTGCCAGGTGGGCCAGGAGGGAGGGAGGGTCCTGCTTTGCACTGTCCTTCCCTCCCCCTCCCCCTTTTATCCTCCTGGCGGCCCTGCCATGTAGGCCACGAAGGAGGGGGTCTTGCTTTGCATTGCCCTTCCTTCTCCTTCCACCCCCCCTGTTATAATCCTGCCGGCCCTGCCAGGTAGGCCAGGAGGGAAGGGGGGGTGTTCAACTCCGGGGGTCAGCCTTTGCATTGTCCTTTCCTCCCCACTCCCACTCCCTCTCCCCCCTCCATGGCATTCTCCTGCCGGCCCTGCCAGGTAGGCCAGGAGGGAGGAGGGGGTCCTGTTTTGCACTGTGCTTCCCTCTCCCCATCCCCAGTGGCATCCTTTCTGCCGGCCCTGCCAGGTGGGCCAGGAGGGAGGGAGGGTCCTGCTTTGCATTCTCCTTCCCTCCCCTTCCCCCTTTTATCCTCCTGCCGGCCCTGCCAGGTGGGCCAGGAGGGAGGGAGGGTCCTGCTTTGCACTGTCCTTCCCTCCCCCTCCCCCTTTTATCCTCCTGGCGGCCCTGCCATGTAGGCCACGAAGGAGGGGGTCTTGCTTTGCATTGCCCTTCCTTCTCCTTCCACCCCCCCTGTTATAATCCTGCCGGCCCTGCCAGGTAGGCCAGGAGGGAAGGGGGGGTGTTCAACTCCGGGGGTCAGCCTTTGCATTGTCCTTTCCTCCCCACTCCCTCTCCCTCTCCCCCCTCCATGGCATTCTCCTGCCGGTCCTGCCAGGTAGGCCAGGAGGGAGGGAGGGTCCTGCTTTGCATTGTCCTTCCCTTCCCCTTTCCCCTGTTATCCTCCTGGCGGCCCTGCCAGGTGGGCCAGGAGGGAGAGGGTCCTGCTTTGCATTCTCCTTCCCTCTCCTTCCCCCTCCTCCTGTTATCATCCTACCAGCCCTGCCAGGTAGGCCAGGAGGGAGGAGGGGGTCCTGCTTTGCACTGTCCTTCCCTCTCCCCATCCCCAGTGGCATCCTTTCTGCCGGCCCTGCCAGGTAGGCCAGGAGGAAAAAGGGGGTCCTGCTTTGCATTCTCCTTCCCCCTCCCCCTGTTATCATCCTGCCGGCCCTGCCAGGTGGGCCAGGAGGGAGGGGATCCTGGTTTGCACTGTCCTTCCCCCTCCCCCTTTTATCCTCCTGCCAGGTAGGTCAGGAGGGAGGGTGGGGTCCTGTTTTACATTGTTCTTCCCTCTCCCCATCCCCAGTGGCATCCTTTCTGCCAGCCCTGCCAGGTAGGCCAGGAGGGCAGGGGTCCTGCTTTACATTCTCCTTCCCCCTCTCCTTCCCCCTCCCCCTGTTACGATCCTGCCGGCCCTGCCAGGTGGGCCAGAAGAGCCGGGGCCCTGTTTTACACTGTCCTTCCCTCCCTCTCCCCCTGTTATCATCCTGCCGGCCCTGCCAGGTGGGCCAGGAGGGAGGGAGGGTCCTGCTTTGCACTGTCCTTCCCTCCCCCTGCCCCTTTTATCCTCCTGGCGGCCCTGCCAGGTAGGCCACGAAGGAGGGGGTCTTGCTTTGCATTGCCCTTCCTTCTCCTTCCACCACCCCCCTGTTATAATCCTGCCGGCCCTGCCAGGTAGGCCAGGAGGGGGGGGTGTCCTGTTTTACATTGTTCTTCCCTCTCCCCATCCCCAGTGGCATCCTTTCTGCCAGCCCTGCCAGGTAGGCCAGGAGGGAACGGGGGGGGGGTTTCAACTCCGGGGGTCGGCCTTTGCGTTGTCCTTTCCTCCCCACTCCCTCTCCCTCTCCCCCCTCCATGGCATTCTCCTGCCGGTCCTGCCAGGTAGGCCAGGAGGGAGGGAGGGTCCTGCTTTGCATTCTCCTTCCCTTCCCCTTTCCCCTGTTATCCTCCTGGCGGCCCTGCCAGGTGGGCCAGGAGGGAGAGGGTCCTGCTTTGCATTCTCCTTCCCTCTCCTTCCCCCTCCTCCTGTTATCATCCTACCAGCCCTGCCAGGTGGGCCAGGAGGGAGGGGGTCCTGTTTTGCACTGTCCTTCCCTTCCCCTTCCCCCTTCCCCCCTCCCATGGCATCATCCTACCGGCCCTGCCAGGTGGGCCAGGAGGGCGAGAGGATCCTCAACTCCGGGGGCCAGGCTTTGCATTGTCCTTACTTCCCCCTCTCCCTTCCCCCCCCTCCCGTGGCATCCTCCAGCCGGCCCTGCCAGGTGGGCCAAGCGAGCGGGCGTCCTGCTTTGCATTGTTCTTCTCTCTCCCCACCCCCACTGGCATCGTTCTGCCCTCCCTGCCAGGTAGGCCAGGAGGATGTGGTTCCTGCTTTGCACTGTCCTTCCCTCCCACTTTCCTCCTCCCCCCTCCCATGTAGGACAGGAGGGAAGGGGGGGGTTCCTCAACTCCGGGGGTCGGCCTTTGCGTTGTCCTTTCCTCCCCACTCCCTCTCCCCCCTCCATGGCATCCTCCTGCCGGTCCTGCCAGGAGGGCGCGAGTCCTGTTTTGCATGGTTTTTCCCTCCCACTCTCCCCCCCCCCCACATGGCATCCTCCTGCCAGCCCTGCCAGGTGGACCCTCATGCGGGTGGGGGTCCTCAGCTCCGGGGATCCGGGGGTCCAGCTTTGCACTGGGGCTGGAGGGCTGGCTGCCCCCTTTCCCCTCCGCCTCCCGACCCAAGACAGCCCTGCCAGGGAGGCCGGGGAGAGGGGGAGTGTGGCATGTGTTCTCAACCCCCCCCCCCCACGTCCTTGCAAGAGGGTCCCCTTCCTGGACCCCCTAAAGAAATCAGCCTGAAAAGTGGGGCTGCCTGGCAAGGATGAGTGGGCGGCCCAGGCTGGAATATAATTTAGAGGCTGTATGAAGCTGTAGAGGCTTTCAATTAGCGGATGGTGCTAGGTAGCCAGGGCCTTGTGTGGGAGAAGTATCCGTTGCTGCTGATTTTTTATTCCTAGGTTTTAGCTAGGAATGAAATTTGCCCAAATCCGACCAGATAAGCTCCCTTTTCCTCTTTCATTTTTAGCCATTAGCCTCCTGTATCTCCACCTCCCTTCTTAGTGGCAGTCAATTAACAGCTGACCAGACCTCTGTTCCTCTAAATGGGCCTTCTAAGATTTTATTTTATAATAAAATCCACCTTATTATGAAAGAGGTGAGCTGGCATCTTTCGTTGTCCAATTTTTAAAGGATGCTCGGAGTCCATTGAAGCTCACGCCGACTGCTTCAGGGACTCCGTCCAGCCACCTCGTTCTCTGCCGTCCCCTTCTTCTCCTTTTGCCCTCCATCGTTCCCAGCATTAGGCTCTTCTCCAGGGAGTCCTTCCTTCTCATTAGGTGGCCAAAGTATTTGAGTTTCCTCTTCAGGATCTGGCCTTCTAAAGAGCAGTCAGGGTTGATCTCCTCTAGGACCGACCGGTTGGATCGCCTTGCAGTCCGAGGGACTCGCAGGAGTCTTCTCCAGCACCAGAGTTCAAAGGCCTCGATTCTTTGGCACTCAGCCTTCCTTATGGTCCAACTTTCACAGCCATCCATTGCAACTGGGAAAACCATCACACTTTCGTTGGCAGGGTGATGTCTCTGCTTTTTAGTACGCTGTCTAGATTTGCCATAGCTTTCCTCCCCAGGAGCAAGCGCCTTTTAATTTCTTATAGCCTTGACTATACACACTTTTGTTGGCAGGTTGCTATCTGTAACCCCATTCAATTGAAGCTGGTTTTAAGTTTTAAGACCAGAGTCTCATCAAGAATCGTTTTCTCTGGGAAAGTTCAGCCTGATGGTCGAAAACATTGCGTCATTGTCTCAAAGGTGCTTTTTTTTTTCCAAGAAGTAACTGGACTTTCTGGTTTTTTTTTCTTTGAAGACATTTCGCTTCTCATCCGAGCTCTGAGCTGAAGAAGCTTTATTATTATTTATTTATTTTATTAGTTTGATTTATATGCCGCCCTTCTCCGGAGACTCAGGGCGGCTTACAATGCGTTAAGCAATAGCCTTCATACTTTTGTATATACCTGCTTAGTAGGGCTTTCAGCCCCCCCTAAGCAGTGTTCTATTTTTATACAAAGTCAGCTTATTGCCCCCACAATCCGGGTCCTCATTTTACCTACCTCGGAAGGATGGAAGGCTGAATCAACCTTGAGCCTGGTGAGATTTGAACTTGCAGTAATTGCAGGCAGCTGGTGCTACTCAACAGCGCTTTAGTCTGCTGCGCCACCAAGGCTCTTCATCCAAGCTTCTTGGATGAGAAGCGAAACGACTCACTGCCTCTTGATCTGCCTGGAAGGGGAAATATTGCAAGAGCTGTCCTTGGGGTGATCAACTTAGAACTAAGGAGAAACTTCCTGACAGTGAGAACAATTAATCATCGGAACAACTTGCCTCCAGAAGTTGTGAA